TATCAGTCTCTCCATTGATGGGTTTAGTGTTTTTTTCCACTTTTTCGCAGAAGCTTTGCCTCCAATCAACGTGAGGCTATCACTTTGTCATTCCGCATTCGTGAAAGGAGGACACACAAACTTCGAAATCGAACCTTCGTTTGGAGTAGAAGCTTCTGAGCTTTACCCTGATGTCAAATACACTACTGTTGATCAATTCCTCGACCAGTACGTCTAAAGCTTGCTTATAAGCTAAACTAAAGAGTCCATGAAGGTATTAAAATCCTTATAGTTCTCTAAATAATCAAACCGAACTGGTGTGGTATTTTGATGGACCTATTTTGAATGTACGGCTTTGGATCCGGTTCTGTGTTATAAATCTTGCTTGTCCTAATAAGTTACTTGCATTGGTATTTGATTCCCGTGGTCTTGCGAGATTAGTTCCATGGGCTATTGCACGGCCCAATATTTACGAATTTAAGAAGCGGCCGATAATAACCAAAGGAATAATCCGGTTTAGGCCGAATTAGTAGAATTCGAAAAAATATAAAGCAACGAAACATAAAATAATATCTACACAAAGAGGTACCAACAATTTTGCTCCGAGCTAAAAACAAATTTAATTTCCAACCTGTTTTCTTACTCTAATTCTTCCCTTGTAGCTGCATAAGTTTTGTCAATGTAAAAATAGACCACAATGATTCTCTAAACAATTTTTTTCATTTTCGCAAAGACAAAAGAGGAAAGTGGTCAGATCAATCCGCACGTGATCCGACGCCGCTGCCGCTGCTCCGTCCACCATATTTCTGCCACACAAACCAGTCAATTCCAAAATGTTACCAAGAAACAAAAAAAAAAAACGACTCATGGAAGAATCAGCCTAATTAATCTCAAAATCTATAAACTATTCATCCAGTATGTCTGTATCGACCAATATGAATGTGGATATTAAGTTTACAATTGCAAAACTTAACGAGCATGAGCAGGCAAAGGGAGGATTAAGACTTTAACTTGTAAATCAAAACAGCAAGTCATTAAAAAAATTTACCTGTTTGCCAAAGCTGAAAGGGATGTACTTGTACTTGATCATGTGGGAGATCTGGCGTCTCATGGTGAGAACAAAGAGAACGATCCAATAGCAAAGAAGGATTGGCCAGAACACAGGAACGTCAAATACCGAGAAGAATGTCATGAGAAACGCAATGCAGAAAGCCTTGGTCATGGAGTACCTGAGATCATGAAACAAGTAAGTAAACCTTTGATGAGCCAAACACACAAATGGTACTTACTGAAACTTTCTATAGTAAGCCATCACTGAGAATTTGATGCTGTAACTGTAGAATGCAACAAGTATTAATTCAAGAGAGCTTACCCCACACATATTAACCATGATCAGTTGTGAAGGCCTCTAAGATGGAAAACACTAAAATGCACAAATTATATAATGTACATGGAGACATGCATTCATGATCAGTAAAAGAAAACTGGCTCATGTGAGAAATCCTCAACGTTTCAGAAATTTAAAATCATTATCAATCATGACCCAATATAATGCAGCAATGCAGCCTAAAAGAACATGATACTCCACTCAACATGCATTTCACATCATGAAATTGTAGGGGGAAAAAACAAACGTGACTAGAATATGTAAGAGGCACATGAGACGTGCATTTAAGATTATCTGACTTTGCATTACCAGAATTTGAACTCAGGAAGTCGGCGAATAAAAGGCTTGAACTCATCAGAACCTCTAGTAGGAAGAGTAGGCCCATCAGAGCCACCAGTGGCCTCAGGATCAACAAGAGGGGACAAGAACCCGATAAGCAGATTCAGAAGGTAGATTCCAAGACCATAGGCAATGATGTAGAAACCCTGAATGTAGTAAACCCTCAAACAGTAGATAAGAGCGACGACAAGAGTTCCAATCCACCTGTAAGTAGCATGAGGTGTAGTTTTGTCTAGATAATGTTGGTAAATCCTCCATGCCTCATGTGCTCTCTGTTGAACAGGCGTAGCCACTGAACCACCATCACCTCCACTTCCGTCCATCTAATGTGATATCTGAAACCTAACGTATAAACAAAACAGTGGAGTGGTCAAATTCACTAATACAACTCAGTATCTCAATTGTTTCTCGCTGTATAGTAGAGCAAAAGCACAAAGCAATCACATAATTTGAATGACTTATGAATGTTCGTTGTGAAGCCTAACTCTAATATCTCTGCATCTTATCTACAAAACATCACATCCCAGGTTCAGGTTTCTTCGAAATCAATATATTAACACAGAATCTCTAACAATACCAAGCTTTCAACTTCTGTTCGCAAACCAAAATCAACCATACGACTCTCGGAAGATGAACCCAGAAAAATACTCGCGTAAACGAAGATCTGCTCGAAATCGAATCCGAACGTAAACCTCAGAGAAGAAATCTGCAGTTATTATGGAAAGAAATCTAGAAAAGTACATTGAAGATCTCTTAGCTAATCGATCTCAAAGAATCAAAACCCTAGTACACAACAAACTCACACCTCAATCGTCACTCACGGAACAAAACGATTCACAATAAATCGAAG